TGTGACTTGACTTGACTCATGACGATCAATTGTGACTTGACTTGACTCATGACGATCAATTGTGACTTGACTTGACTCATGACGATCAATTGTGACTTGACTTGACTCATGACGATCAATTGTGACTTGACTTTACTCATGACGATCAACGGTAACTTGACTTGATTCATGAAGATCAGATGTGACATAACGGGGCGCAGTTGTGTCCGCCATTTTACTATCAGGCTCCACTGTCGCCACCATTTTGTGAGCATGCTCTAGTGCGGCCGCCATTACACAAGCGGACTCGGTATCATGTTTCTCCGCAACACCCACCGTGAACACGGAGTCTACACACAGCAAAGCAAAATCCAAAAAATAGCTTAGAGAAGAACGGGGACCCTCACGGGTTAATCGTGACTTTAAAGGTTCATTTACTCCATCACAAAAAAAGTCTATCAGTACACAATCTGGCAGATCAGAATAACACGCAATGTCCAGATACTCTTGAATATAGCCTTCAAGCGGGCGTGTGCCCTGCTTTAAGGCTAATAAAAGTTTTGCAGTGTCCATACCTGGCTAATGTCCACATGAAAAGCTGCTGGATCCTTGTGTGGCCGAGTATTCTGTTACGGAGCAAAGCTTTTGTTAAGACGTGGTCATAAACAGGCATAGGTCAGACATAGGCAAACTGGTATGTAGAAGACAAGGCAAGGGTAGTCCGGTAAACAAGCGAGGGTCAGTCGACGACGAATGTAATCCAACAGGGCGAGACTAGAGAGATAATCCAGGTACAAAGAAAAAGTCCAGTATCTTGGTTAATTTCAAATTGGTCAGAAGGGGGTGCAAATGTAACGGTGTGCTGGAGGAAATGTCCAGTACCTTTCAGATAAAACTCCAAAGTTCTCCAGAAGAATAAGAGTCCACCGTCTCCGTATGATTGGAATGTCACACTGGAAGACACAAACATAGAGAAATCTTTAAATATCAACTGCTACAACATCATAAAGATCAATTACTTTAACTGATAACTACTTACAGATGTAAAATCAAAGGGTGCTCCCAAGACAAGATGTACTGGAAAACA